GATAGCAAGCCGATAAAGTAGGACAAAGATATCTTGTAGAATTTTGATTAAAACACAGATCTGATTACGACACGGAACGAACACAGGTAGACCGGCATTGTACCAACATGCTCAGGTAAATCTATTTTAGTTAGATCAATCTTCTTTTTGAGTTTATACTACATATTCACTTACATAATACTTTCGGTTATACGACATATCCATGTATAAGATACATCCATTCACACGACACATTCATTTACACGACACACTCGCTTATCCGACACAATGGTAAACAATTACTTAGACGACACATATAGCTATCCTACATTATTTTTTTTAATCCGTATCTTTTGATATTTCTCTCTCCATTACTTAGCATTTTGACCTTTGCACGATTGGGATATTGTATTAAAAAATAAACCTTCACACTGCACTATTCCTGAGCTCAGATAAATACTTATATTTTTTCATAATCTTAAAAGTTTCCCTTTCAAACATGACGGTCTATGGGGCAAGTGAAGTAGAGTTCACTTGTTTCTGTTACCTCGGCATATGAAGAGATAGTGTGGTCAGCACTATGCCCAGCCGCCTTTACTTTCCCGAACGTGAGTTAGGTACCCATCAGAGTTGGGTGGACTCATGGACGGTCTACTGACTTGAACCCGGATTCGAACTCGAGACTTACGGTTTAGCAGTCCAGCTCTCTACCGCTAGACCACTCCGTCCCATCTTCTTTCATAAATATACAATAAATACTCCCACTTTTGATATACTGAGCAGAGGCGTTGTTTAATAATGTCGCTGGTTATATACTAAGGTGTTAGAGTTCGCTCCCCTGCATCCAACGCTAAAAGAACAAATAACTTTACTGAGAGCTGGTGGGGAACGACAAAATTAAAGCAATTCTAAGTCAATTTCAGTATCGATTAAGGCTTATAAAATATGAGAAAATCTAATTAATCGGGCCCGCGGGTTTTAATGACACGAGGGATTATCTGTCTCGGACTATGGGTCGTAAATGGCAGAGTGGCTTCCCCTGAAAAAGATTCTTCAACCGTTGCCCATGGTTACCTCATCAAAAATGGATTAAATCAAAATTGATGGTGTTTTCTTCCAGGTGCTTGTGTAATCTTTACAATCTTAGAAAGCTTTAGAATCGTCTGCCCTTTGTACAATCTGGCTATGCTAAGAGTTTACTAACTTCGTTTATATATATATATATATATATATATATATATATATATATATATATATATATATATATATATATATATATATATATATATATATATTTATATATTACAGATTATTCCCAGCCACTTTCACCATTCTCCTGGTCTATTGGCTAGTTTACTTTCACGTGGATGCCAGTCTGCCGTTTAGTATTTCTGATAAAGGTCAAGGCTTCACTGTGTCCATCGATGACCTACAGGTGAGAAATGTTCCGACTTCTGGTGGTCGATACGGTATTTGAAGTAGAGTTAACCTAGTAGTGTTCGTAGTATTTTCATAGTTTATGTGTTTTGTCTCTTGCAATGCCACCTTTATTTTCCCAACTCAGGACAGGTACACAATTAAGCTGTATAGACTCATAAAAGTTCTCACGCAAGCAGGGCAGGAAAATTTCTTGGTGGGCTCCTAATGAAAAATTTCCGGTTGGCCCCAAGGAAAAATTCTCGGTGGGCCCCCAAGAAAAAAAAATCCGCTGGGTACATAGAAAGGGTGCTGTAATAGTCGATGGAACACGATACTTGTGAGCTAGAAACCGTATACTCTACCACCTGACCAATACCTTACTTGATTTGCAATAGATAAACAACCATCCTGTATTGAGTAAACTCTACATTACACCTAAATGGGATGGCGTGGTCGTATGGTAGTGTACACGACTGCTGACCCGAAGTCTTGGGTTCGGATAGACACACTACTGAACAAGTGTCCAATAGAAAGCCAAGTTGGAAATAGAATTACTTGTTACTTTTTCACTATACGTAAAATAAACTCTGGATTATTATTCTTCTTTTTCTTCTTCTTCGTTTTTAATTTTTAGTGTTGGAAGGGATCGAGCCTTATCTGCCAGCGGGTTTGAACTCGAGACTTATTCGAATATATCAACCATCACAATTAAGGATACGTGTCAACTGGTTATGCGCCATTGTGGCCATTGACTCCGATGTCAGCCTTTTTTTGGATTTGCTTCCATAGCCTTTGTCCAACCAAGAACAAACTACAAGGCAGCAGTTGTTTGATTTTGGAGTTGTCTGAGTTGTCTCTCCTAGCATAGTGGCTGTCTCCAGCTAACGAGACTCATCTGCCCGAGGGTTCGAACTCAAGACTTTTCGGTTTAGCAACCATGAGCTTTACCGACTCGACATTAAGTAATTAAGTAAAAGATGTGACGTAACTTCCAAGTCACGTGATGATCCCCAGGTATTGCAGCACTTACCTGACTCCCCGATCCTGTATGTTGGGACCGGAGTGACCCAGCTGCCGGAGGATTCTGGGAACTTTTTTATCCAAGACTACGTCACATCGAGAATACCCCTTGTCGATTACCTCATTTCCTGTGGGCAGACAAACTGCAGTGTGCTACTTAGTCGGGGAGAGACTTTTGTAAGTTAGTGTTTGGCTTTTGACTTAGTCGGGGGGGGGGGGGGGGGAGACTTGTTTAAGATTGTGTTTCGCTTTTGACTTAGTCGGGGATGGGGGACTTTTGTAAGTTAGTGTTTGCCTTTTGACTTAGTCGGGGGGGGGGGGGAGACTTTTGTAAGTTAGTGTTTGCCTTTTGACTTAGTCGGGGGGGGGGGGGAGACTTTTGTAAGTTAGTGTTTGGCTTTTGACTTAGTCGAGGTGGGGGAGGAAGTGGGGGAACGACTTATATAAGTTAGTGGTGGACTTTTGACTTAGTCGGGGAGGGGGAAGGGGGGAGAAGTGTGTAAGTTAGTTTGGAAGACACTTTTGTAAGTTTGTCAGTGGGAGACTTTGGTGAAAGTTAGTGGTCGACTTTTGACTTAGTGGGGACTTATGTAATTTAGTGCTCAACCTTAAGTGACACCAAAGCTGTTTTAAATTATTTTTATTCCCCACCCATTATCGTCATATGTCGTGGAAAAATGGGGTTAAAATACAAAAAGTTCATTTAGAAAGAACAGCAGATACATAAACAAAAAAACACATAATTTAGCTTAGGGCGGAACATTGATTGAGGGGAGAGGGAAGAAGGGTCTTCGTCTGTTGTGTTAAGGAAAAAGTTTAGACCTTTAAGTCGTGTGTGAAATGGTTATAGTCAAATGGGGGTCATCCATAAGTGACGGCACGCTTTTTTGACGATTTTTACCTCCTACCACACACATCGTTACAAAAAGCCAGATTTCCCCCCCCCCCCCCCTAAAATGACGTCACACCTCAGCAGTTGAATTTTTCTTAAAAACATCGATATTTTTCCAACATCTTGTCTGAACTCTGTCAAATTAGAGTATTTTAATCAATTCCTATTACAATTTATAAAAAAAAAACGTTTTCTAACTTTTTTTTTTTTATAATGCAAAAGTGTAACGTCACACCATCTGAGCCACACCCCTCCCCTCGCCCTCATCACACACCGACATAAAATTACGGACCCCCCCCCCCCCCTCCCCCCCTACGAGTGTGACGTCATTTATGGACGACCCCTAAGCTGTTTTAATTGAGTCGATGTCTATGAACTCTATCCTCCAGGCTGTATTGAGCTTCCGCTCCGAACTTGGACAACCACTAGTCGTCAGCGTACAAGACTCGAGCTCCGATTTCGACCGAGTTTGGTTCCGAGTTTACGCGGAAGTTGACGAGGAAGTCTACGGCGGCGGCGAACAGTATTCGTATTTCAACCTACGTCACAGGGAGGGCGATGGCGAAAACGTTTTCCCGATGTGGGTCAGGGAGCAAGGTACGTTTTGTTTATGTAAGGACACGGCACACATTAGATGTCAGAAAGTGAATTGTACTGTAAAGGCTTGCTGGCAATTTTTCCTTCAGAGTTTTCAATATTTTAGAAATAAAAAAAAAATGTGTATAAAATACTTCAGAAGAAGGGTAAAGTGTCTCTTTCAGTGAGCTTTCCACGAAAGCATTTCTACCGCACCCTCGACCATGTCAACACCCCCCCCCCTCTCCGCAATAAAATATTTAGAATACAATTCAAACCCATGGGCAGACGAGGCTCGATAGCGTAGGACAGTTGTCTCCCAAAGAGAGACAACTGCAAAATGAAACAATTGCTGCCTGTGGTTTGTTCTTGGTTGGACAAAGCTATGGAAGCAAATCCAAAAAGAAAAGACAGGCTGACATAGGAGTCAACTATGGCTTAAATATAGCTCATAGCAAGTTGACATGTAATACTTAAATTGTTTTGGAAGGAATTCCTCTTAAGATTTCATGAATCTCAATCTCACGAACTCTCTTAAGGGCTATATATTATAAGTGAGCTTTTAATAGTTTTAAATACAAAAATAAAGTAACATAAAAAAAGTCTACGAAAACAAAGTAATAAAAACCGAGGCTACAAAAACAAAATAATTAAAAACAGAAGCCCAAAAGAAACGAAAAAAAAACTTATAAATAAGTTTAACAAAAACAAATTTAAAAAGATGTAAATAGTTATAAACGAACCTAAATAACAAACTTAGATAACAAACTGGCGTATAGAAAGAGTTCACGTTAATTTGAAATGCTCTTCGTGACTAGTTCATTTCTTCACAAACCAATCTACATTACCCTATAGACGTTCCCAGGCAACTAAAAAACAAATCCTATTTTATTTTTACAAAACGAAGTAACATTGAGTAGGTCAACAGCTAACTGTAATGAAAACTTCTTCATGTGTAAATAAGGTAAATAGGTGGTATTAGTACTGGATGACACGATTTTAAAAGTCATAAAGTTTTTCGGTTGAATAAAATGTCTTGAAAATTATTCAAATGTACATAATTTAATTATCAGGCCATTGATCTTGATGACCTTCGTTTTTTTCTGGCCAAGGTGTGGGAAGAAACAAAAGCACTCAACTTACTTTCGTGATGGACACTCTAGACAAGGCGGGGGGAGATTACCACACGAGTTACTTCCCCCAGCCCACGTACCTTTCCTCTCGGCGCTATTACCCTCCATTATAATGGATTGTCTTACTCCGTGTTTGACTTTAGGTAATGGATCTTTTTTTGTCATTACTCTTTAAATTAACCCACCTTTCTTTTCTGTATTACAAGCTTATATTTTGGTCTGAATGTTTGTGGGTTTATGGAGAAATCTTTATCTTAATTTATTTTCGATACAACGGAAAAATAATTATTTTTTCTTATGTGATAAGATACTGAATTAATTTAAAAAATTATTGAAATATTATATATTCAATAGCAATAAACGCCGTAACTAGATTATTTAGATTTAGTGAGGGTTCGCAGCTACCGATTCATCATTTGTGTTATGAGTATTTTAGTGGGGCCTATACTGTAGTGCCAATCACTCTAGGTCCCATACTAATGTATTACTATAGGCCCCATGCAATTGTATGACTATAGGTCCCATGCTTATGTATGACTATATATCTCATGCTAATGTATGACAATAGATTCCATGCTAATGTATGACTATAGGTCCCATCCTATAGTATCACTTTAAGTCACATTCTATTGTATCACTGATGGTCCCATGCTAATGTATGATGATAGGTCCCAAACCATAGTATCACTGTAGGTCTCTTGCTAAAGTATCACTGTAGGTCCTTTGCTAAAGTATCACTGTAGGTCCCAAACCATAGTATCACTGTAGGTAAGTAGCACTGTAGGTCCCATGCTGTAACATCACTGGTAGGTCCCTTGATAAAGTATCACTGTAAGGTCTTTTACTAAAGTATCACTGTAGGTCTCTTACTAAAGTATCACTGTAAGTCTCTTACTAAAGTATCACTGTAGGTCTCTTACTAAAGTATCACTGTAAGTCTCTTACTAAAGTATCACTGTAGGTCTCTTACTAAAGTATCACTGTAGGTTTCTTACTAAAGTATCACTGTAGGTCTCTTACTAAAGTATCACTGTATGGTCTCTTACTAAAGTATCACTGTAGGTCTCTTACTAAAGTATCACTGTAGGTTTCTTACTAAAGTATCACTGTAGGTCTCTTACTAAAGTATCACTGTAGGTCTCTTACTAAAGTATCACTGTAGGTCTCTTACTAAAGTATCACTGTAGGTCTCTTACTAAAGTATCACTGTAGGTCTCTTACTAAAGTATCACTGTAGGTCTCTTACTAAAGTATCACTGTAGGTCTATTGCTAAAGTATCACTGTCAAGTGAACACTTGGTCTGACTGAAGACACAGACCGCTGGCACTAAATTCTGCCCGACATATTGTCTGTCACAGGAGTTCCCGTTTCCACGAGATTTTTTATCCTGGGGAAGACCGGAAGTCTCTATTTCAACAAGGCCGGCTCCCTGCTCGACGCCGTCACGGAACTGACGTCATTCCTGGGTCGTATGCCGGAACTTCCGGAATGGCTGCTGGGCGGGGCGGTGTTGGGTGTTCAAGGCGGGACTGATACGGTGAGTGTAGGTAGTAGACTATGGGGGGGGGGGGGGGGGGGGGGTTGGGTGTTCAAGGCGGGACTGATACGGTGAGTGTAGGTAGTAGACTATGGGGGGGGGGGGGGGGGTTGGGTGTTCAAGGCGGGGACTGATACGGTGAGTGTAGGTAGTAGACTATGGGGGGGGGGGGGGGGGGGGGGGGGTTGGGTGTTCAAGGCGGGACTGATACGGTGAGTGTAGGTAGTAGACTATGGGGGGGGGGGGGTTGGGTGTTCAAGGCGGGACTGATACGGTGAGTGTAGGTAGTAGACTATGGGGGGGGGGGGTTGGGTGTTCAAGGCGGGACTGATACGGTGAGTGTAGTGTAGGTAGTAGACTATGGGGGGGGGGGGGGGGGGGGGGTTGGGTGTTCAAGGCGGGACTGATACGGTGAGTGTAGGTAGTAGACTATGGGGGGGGGTTGGGTGTTCAAGGCGGGACTGATACGGTGAGTGTAGGTAGTAGACTATGGGGGGGGGTTGGGTGTTCAAGGCGGGACTGATACGGTGAGTGTAGGTAGCAGATTATGGGGGGGGGGGGCGATAGGGGTGGGGCGGTGGGGCGGTATTGGGTGGTCAAGGCGGGACTGATACGGTGAGTGGTGGATAGGTAGTAGATTATGGGGGGGGGGGGGGGGGGCTATAGGGGTGGGGGTGGGGCGGTGTTGATTGTTCAAGGCGGGACTGATACGGTGAGTGGAGGTAGTAGATTATGGGGGGGGGGGCGATAGAGGTGGGGTTGGGGCGATGTTTGGTGTTCAAGGCGGGACTGATACGGTGAGTGGAGTGTAGGTAGTAGATTATGGGGGGGGGAACGATAGGGGTGGGGGGGCGGTGGGGGGGTGGGGGGCGGTGTTGATTGTTCAAGGTGGGACTGATACGGTGAGTGTAGGAAGTAGACTATGGGGGTATGACTATGGGAAGGGGGCGGTGTTGGATGTGTGAGAGGATTGTGTATGCGTGATATATGACTGATTTTATCAGTGTAGTAGCCTTTCGGGGGTAGTGGTGGGTGTTGCGATGTGGGACAAATATGATTAGTGTAGTGGTCTTTGGAAGGGGGGGGGGTGGTAGGTAGTGATGGATGGTTTTTGCGATGTTGGGTGTTTAAAATGGGATGAGGTGTGCCCTGATGTGGCTGAGTGAGGTATGTAACGTGGGACTTATAATGTGTAAATCGTTAACACGTCTACATTATGTTCTACCAACAATGCCTTTATTGGTCAGTTGTTGTGTGGTGTATTGCTCATTTTTTGTCAGTAGTTTCTCTAACCAAGCCATTCGCTATGCGTCCCCATATTCCAAATTCTGCATGTTGTATTCAGACTTAGACAAAGTCATACAGAACCTCAAACAAGATGGCGTCCGTGTCTTGGCCTACCCCAAACATCTCCTTTGTCTTTTGAACTAAATTTAAATTACCATCATAAATTCTATATCTATTTTCTGACCATTCATTTAAATCATATCAACTAGCGGGAAATAATTACTGCGCATGTTTCACAATGACAATGTTGATTATTTATTTTTCAAAAACCCAGAGCTATTTTTATTCGACCATTATTGGCCTTAATTAAATGCCCTTGGTATAGATCTCATTTAAAGACTTTAAATTGGCATTATCTGAAAAGACGAAAATCAAAAGTGACATTTAAAGAGCTTCCTCAAATTGAATTAAAATTAAATGACAGATATTTTTTTCCATTCTCTATTAGAACAACTAATCAACTCGTTGATTTAAAAACAAAAGAAACAAAAGAAACGGTCAAATTTAAAATGGGATAATTGGAGAAAAAAAACATTCGATTTTAGAATGACGTTGGTCGGTAATTTTTAGTTCAATCTATGGAGTATTTTATTTTAATTCGTAGGATTTCAATACTTTTTAAATTAATTTCACGTTATTTTAAAAGACAGGAAAACCATAATGTAACTTCAATTAAAGGTTCCGAAAACCGTTAAATCATGACGTCATCGCCGTTAGCTTAAACGGACATGCTATCAGTGCGTCGTTGGATAAAGAAAACAAAACAACCGCTTTTTAAGTCGACAACAAATAAACAACTGTCTGGAAAGTCCAGGTCTGCTGAGGGCACAACGTCCATTTAATTTTTTCTAACGATGAAAAAACTCGGGCGAACAATGGAACATTTTTGTTATTTTTATTTACATGGGAGGCTACTCGGTTGAAATTTACTTATATATTTCTATAAAGAAAATGTTGAAGTCCTTAAAAACAGTAGAACTCACTTAATTAATCTTATATAAAATCATTTTCATTTCTGAGTAGTTTTTTAGCAATTTAGTTAATATTATTAATTAATAGTGTTTCTTTCAAGCATCTCTTCGAATTAGGGGTGACAGGGGAGGGGGGGTTGTGTCCATATATATATATATGTATATATATATATATATATATATATATATATATATATATATATATATATATATACTTAAACTAGTGCATTTCTATCCCCCTCCCCGGATGTTTCAAGTGCACCCCCCCCCCCTCACAAATAAACGAAACCCTGAATACTAATTAGTAATTTACCTATAATTATAGGGTAGTTTCACCTAGCTTTAATTGCTGGTGCTGTATTTAACACGTACAGCCGCATACATAACCAGGCTTTCATTAAATGGTACTCGATTGATGACCCATCTTTAATACCCGACTCGTGTTCTTTACAAGCTGTTACTTAATGCACTACGTCCATTGGTGGGTTCGTGGCAACTCTTGGAACTCGATTTTGGAGCTTTCTAGATACCTTCTTCTTCAATGACAATGCAATAATATCATTTTTTTTAAATTTAATTGAAAACTGATCAAACGGTTTCGGAACTCATGGGAGATAACAAGATTAAATACTAGCGACTACTCGATCAGCTGAACGTCGTATGTAAACTTTTCGTCACGGTTGGCTGATTTTTCGTTGTCATTAGCTAACCAAGGGCAGATAACTGTCTTTTTTTTTAGAGATGGCAAGCTGCTGGTCAGGTTTTAAGGCTAATATTTTTAGTCGTAGCCAATGTTGTGTCAACCTCTCTTCGAACAAATGACTAAAAAGTGGGAAAACAAAAATAAAAAATCCTTTGAGATAACAAGTTTTTAAATTCACTGTGATTAAGAAAATAAAAGAAACATGTTTACTTAGGTAAAAGCTTTAGTCGTTAAAAATGTAAGTTCCCACGAGAACCAAGGTTTTATTTTAAAAAGTCTGTTTATTTTATTGTTTTATTTTCAGTGAATTTGAAAGCTTGTACTTGTACGGTTTTTTATTTGTATTTTTACATAGTCCTCCAGTCTCGGCCACCAAAATAAAAATAAAAACTAAAATATTATCTAATATAACGATTTTTACTCAAAACACGCAAATGTCAATGTAAAAAAAAATATTGCTAATGTTGCAAGCAAATTAAAAACATTGGACAACAAAGGGTGCATGTCAGGTGTGTGGTGAAACTGCGCAGATGATGTCCAGGTGCATGTCAGGTGTGTGTTGAATCTGTGCAGGTGATGTCCAGGTGCATGTCAGGTGTGTGTTGATACTGTGCAGGTGATATCCAGGTGCATGTCAGGTGTGTTGATACTGTGCAGGTGATGTCCAGGTGCATGTCAGGTGTGTGTTGAATCTGTGCAGGTGATGTCCAGGTGCATGTCAGGTGTGTGTTGAATCTGTGCAGATGATGTCCAGGTGCATGTCATGTGTGTGTTGAATCTGTGCAGGTGATGTCCAGGTGCATGTCAGGTGTGTGTTGAATCTGTGCAGGTGATGTCCAGGTGCATTTCAGGTGTGTGTTGAATATGTGCAGGTGATGTCCAGGTGCATGTCAGGTGTGTTTTGATACTGTTCAGGTGATATCCAGGTGCATGTCAGGTGTGTGTTGATACTGTGCAGGTGATGTCCAGGAGGTGATGTCCAGGTGCATGTCAGGTGTGTGTTGAATCTGTGCAGGTGATGTCCAGGTGCATGTCAGGTGTGTGTTGAATATGTGCAGATGATGTCCAGGTGCATGTCAGGTGTGTGTTGAATATGTGCAGATGATGTCCAGGTGCATGTCAGGTGTGTGTTGAATCTGTGCAGATGCTGTCCAGGTACCGACAAGCCAAGGCGTTCGACATCCCTGTGGCTGGAATCTGGATCCAAGACTGGTCAGGCAAGGTGGACATGGAGTTTGGTCAGAGGGTCAACTGGGACTGGAGATGGGATCCACGCTGGTACCCTGGTGAGTTGTGTCTATGTCTAGTCAGTTGTTGTGTGGGTGATTGTGATCTGTGTTGTGTGGGTGTATTGGTCAGTTGTTGTATGGGTGTATTGGTCAGTTGTTATGTGGGTGTATTGGTCAGTTGTTATGTGGGTGTATTGGTCAAGTGTTATGTGGGTGTATTGGTCAGTTGTTATGTAGGTGTATTGGTCAGTTGTTATGTGGGTGTATTGGTCAGTTGTTGTGTAGGTGTCTTGGTCAGTTGTTTTATGGGTGTCTTGGTCAATTGTTGTGTGGGTGTATTGGTCAGTTGTTGTGTAGGTGTATTGGTCAGTTGTTGTGTGGGTGTCTTGGTCAGTTGTTGTGTAGGTGTCTTGGTCAATTGTTGTGTAGGTGTCTTGGTCAGTTGTTGTGTGGGTGTGGTGGTCAGTTGTTGTGTGGGTGTATTGGTCAGTTGTGTAGGTTTATTGGTCAGTTGTTGTGTAGGTGTCTTAGTCAGTTGTTGTGTAGGTGTATTGGTCAGTTGTTGTGTGGGTTTATTGGTCAGTTGTTGTGTAGGTGTCTTAGTCAGTTGTTGTGTAGGTGTCTTGGTCAATTGTTGTGTAGGTGTCTTAGTCAGTTGTTGTGTAGGTGTCTTGGTCAATTGTTGTGTAGATGTCTTGGTCAGTTGTTGTGTAGGTGTATTGGTCAGTTGTTGTGTGGGTGTATTGGTCAGTTGTGTAGGTTTATTGGTCAGTTGTTGTGTAGGTGTCTTAGTCAGTTGTTGTGTAGGTGTCTTGGTCAATTGTTGTGTAGGTGTCTTGGTCAGTTGTTGTGTAGGTGTCTTGGTCAGTTGTTGTGTAGGTGTATTGGTCAGTTGTTTTGTAGGTGTATTGGTCAGTTGTTTTGTAGGTGTATTGCTCATTTTTTTGTCAGTAGTTTAGCTAACCAAGCCAGTAGCTATGCGTCCCTATATTCCAAATTCTGCCTGTTGTATTCAGACTTAGACAAAGTCATAAAGAATCTCAAACAAGATGGCGTCCGTGTCTTGGCCTATATCAATCCTTACCTGAGGCAAAATGGCGACATGTTTAAAGAGGTAAGAACCAAGACCTAATATTGGATGCTCTTACCTAGATGTAAGCTCTATGGCCTTGTAAAAGACCTTCTCAATATAAATTATTTGATATTATAAAGAACCTACTAACAAGGATGTAAAAAAAAATAAAGTTATTAAAACCTTTACACAATATTGACGTGAAATTAAAAAATCCATCTTAAAATTAAATAAAGATATATACTTTTACCAGTAAAACACCCCCCCCTCGAAAATATCAAGTGTCCCCCGGAGAAAAAAGTCTGGTTGAAAGACTGATTGCTTATCTGTGATTGTTATAGCCAAACTTTCTTAATAGAAGTGAATATTTATCACTTTATCTCTTTAACCCGTGCATAATGGCGTGAGCTATTTGTCTCCACCCCAGGCTGAAGCGCTAGGGTACCTGGTGAGGAACGGGACGGGTGACGTGTACCTGCAGAGGTCAGTGACTCTGATGTTCGGGTCGGTGGACTTGACCAACCCATCCGCTTACAGCTGGTACAAAAACAGTGGGTGACATCATTACAGCCTTCGTTAGTTTAATTTTTTTTTTTTTATTTTTTTTTTATTTTTTTTTATTTTATTTTTTTTTTATTTTTATTTTATTTTTTTTAATATTTTTTTTATTTTTTTTTTTATTTTAATTTTTTTTATTTTTAAATTTTTTTTTTTAATGTTATCTTTTTATTTTTATTTTTATTTTTTTTTTTTTTTTTTATTTTTATTCTTTTTTTTTTATTTATTCTTTTTAAACTTAAATTTATATGTAGACAATTTTAGAGGACACCTATTGTAATTCAAAACTCAAATGTGTAGACCTACTGAGCAAAAGATTGTATTAAATTCCCAAGTACAATAAGACATACACAATGTGCCCCCAAACTAAGCCAAATCCGGGTGTTTTGAGTAAAGTATGACTGTGTAGAACACCACCCAACACATTTCCAACACCCCTATAATATTTACATTTTTTACATGGTATCCAACTTAGTTTTCACACCCTACCCTATGATGTACTTTAACTTTCAACGTATATTTTCGCTCCCCGCCATATATACTATATACATAGTAAGCCTAGCATTTTACTTAATTTTGCTACCACACTCCATACAGATAGACATTCACTTATCAACTCATTTACTTTCTACAGTAATCAAGACAAATCTGATTGGCCTTGGAATGGGCGGATGGATGGCCGATTTCGGCGAGTACCTACCCGTGGACGCAGTTCTGCACGATGGCCGATCTGGACTGGAGGGCCACAATGAGTGGCCCGTTCTTTGGGCCAAACTGAACAGAGAAGCGCTGGAGGAGACGGGGCAGTTAGGGGAAATTGTTTTCTTTACCCGAGCGGGATTTTCCGGTACACGAGTGCTTAAAATAGATTTAATTGAAAGAAATTGGTTGGTTTTTTTTTTTAAACCCGAGTGGGATTTTCCGGTACACAAGTACTAAAAATCGATTAGGGTTTTATTTTAGTCATCTTAAAGTACGTTAATAGTTGCTTGATTAATAAGGATATTTAGCCCTACGTTTTTAAGCTTTTGGATTTTTTAATTTATATAAGGACAAGTTGATTTATTAGACGATAAATGCGATATACTGTCCATAGTTGCCTTCATGAGGGGGGGGGGGGGGTGGTAAGCTCCGGAAGAAAACTTTTATTTGAATACTTGACAAGGAACAATTATTTCTCTAGAGCTTTCTTATGGTGCGTCACCGGAAAAGAATGTAATGGTGGAATCCTGGTAGCTATGACAACAGCGGATTTCTTGAAAAAATTAACTAATTCGTAGGAATATTTTTTTAAATAAATAAGCTCGTTGAAAGATCTCTTACTTATTGCAGCAGCATTCAAATCATCAGCGAACATTGTAAAGAGTTTAGTAAAGTGAACATTAAGACAAAATATACTATGAACACAACGGGTCCAGTGTCTCTTCCAGGAGACCCCCCCCCCCTTTGAAGAGAGTCTACGCCCCCCCCCCCGTATGAAATGGAAGTTATATAGAAAATATATACTTTTAACAGTGTCCTCCCCCCCCCCCCCACCGGAACTTTTAATCCGCCCCACGCCACCCCCCGAAAATTTCAAGTCCCCTATCCCCCCCCCCTCTTTCCCAGAGAAAAAAAGTCACTGAACGGGTCTTATGTGGTAATGAGTTGGAATATTATTATTATGGGCGATAGAAGCAATTCGATTCGAAAATATGTTTGATATAAAATAAAACAGATCAAAGTCGTGTTCCGTGGTTATTAAAAAACCAAAAAATCTTCCTCTCCCCCCCCCCCGTGTTTTTCCCTGCAGGCACCAGCAAGTTCACCACACTGGTCTGGAACGGGGACCAGAACGTGGACTTCTCCCCCGCCGACGGGGTCCGCTCCAGCGTGTACGGCACCCTGAGCCTGGCCGTGAGCGGGGTGGGGCTGTCCCACTTCGACATAGGGGGGTACACGACCCTGGCTGACCTTGGCTTGACCCGGAGCGGGGAGCTGCTGCTCAGGTCAGCCGAGATGGCGGTGTTTACACCCGTGTTCAGGACACATGAGGGTAGGTTTAGACGTGTGAAGGTAGGTTTAGACACATGAGGGTAGGTTTAGACACGGGGAGGTAGGTTCAGACACACGGTGGTAGGTTGTGTTGATAGGAATGTTTTGGTCAGGTACGGACAGCCATTTAGTGCACATAAGCTAAGCTTTTGTCACATCAGCCAACTCATTAATGATGACGGTCTTTTTGTTTCATCGGACTTTCTTTCATCGCGCCTTTGTCTGACATTTATTGAAATGTGACATCAAAAAAATTAATTTTAATTTGTGGATTATATTTCAAACATAAAATCGTTTCAAAAGGCCATTCTATTCAAGTTTTTTTTTAATTGTATTGCTTGCAATAGGAAACCAACCTGGAGTAAAAAAAATAATTTAAGAATAGATGCACATTTTTTTTTCAAATATTTGTTTTTTAAGATTTTCAGTAATCTAGGCCAGGTCACAAAAACTAATTGAAATGATAAAATGAACTAAATGCATCGAAATTTTAAATAAAATTTAAAAAATAGCTTACATCAGGGTTGGTGTAAATATTTATTATTACATTACAACAGGGTTGGTGTAAATATATATTTTTACATTGCTTACATCAGGGTTGGTGTAAATATTTATTATTACATTACAACAGGGTTGGTGTAAATATATATTTTTACATTGCTTTCATAAGTGTTGGTATAAATATTTATTATTACATTTCTTATATAAGGGTTGGTGCAAATCTTTATTATTACATTAGTTACATAAGGGTTGGTGTAAATATTTATCATTACATTGCTTACATCAGGGTTGGTGTAGATATTTATTATTACATTACTTACATAAGGGTTGGTGTGGTTATTTATTTTTACATCGCTTACATCAGGGTTGGTGTAATTATATATTATTACATTGCTTACACCAGGAAACCAACCCAAAGCAAACGCTCAGTGGTACAACAACAACACCATCTCCTCGTTTGCCAGATTGGCCAAACAATTTGCTTTATTGGCAGACTACAGGTAAATGAATAATTCATTGCTGGCAATACTCCTTGTTTTTGTGCTGGCTTTATGGCAGACATTTTACATCAATTGGTTCTGTTTTATTTCTTTCTAGTGATTTGTTTTAGAGTAATTTCCCTTGGTTAGTTTTACAGTGTCTGCTTGTGATATACTGGATTTACCACCACCGATATTTATAGACATGTTTTCAAACGGAAAACCTTCAATATTTATAGATGTATATCTTGGTTAGGGTTGGCGTGGTCGAGCGTTAGAACTTACGAATGCTATGCCTCTGTATTATGAGATCATTGAAACAGATGAACTCTACTTCACCTGTCTTTTATGTGCGCTGAGTACGAACAGGAAATGAAGATCATGATTTCTTGGTTCTGTCTGATTTGAAACAGCGTAGTTCTGGCGCCATGGTTTGATGTTTCTCTTAATGATTCCTGGTTCTTGTGCTTCGAGATTTGAAGGCTACTGATTTTAAAAATACAGATTTTTAAACTTACACTAATAAGCTATTCTTCTAGCGAGTATATTTTAAAGGATTGGCTGTGAAAACATTTTACGCACTGTAATCCTTAAAAAAATGTAAATACTGACTTCGTGGAGAATTGGTTCGTGAACGTCATGTTTATGCTAAGCAGAGTTTCTTCCAGGCAAAGCATTAGTTCAGCCCCTCCCCCCGAACGAAATGGAATGTATATAGATTTATACAGAAAATATGTACTTTTACCAGTGTCATTTAAATATGTATGTATATATATATATATATATATATATATATATATATATATATATATATATATATATATATATATATATATATATGAATTAATTTCTTTGGGGTAGAAGGTGGGTAGACGTTCTTGCCCCCCCCCCCCCCCATTTTCCTGTACCCCAACTTCTCAGCATCACCTGTTCAGTTGTGTTTGATTGACGCGTTGTCTACAACATCACCTGCTCAGTAATGTTTAGTTGACTTATGTTGTCTACAACATCATCTGCCCTGTAATGTTTAGTTGACGCATGTTGTCTACACCATCACCTGCCTTGTAATGTTTGATTGACGCCTGTTGTGTGCAGAAAGTTTGTCGTACAGCAAGTCAGTCGGGCCGGCGTCCCCGCACAACTTCCGGTCAGTGTCGTGTACGAAGGCTCCCCCTCCCCGTACAGCCAGTTCCTGTTTGGGTCGGACCTGCTTGTCGCCCCTGTCTGTCAGGAGAACGTCCAGGACCTGTGGGTCTCGCTGCCTGTGAGTCGAGGTAGGTCTTTTAGGTCTGTGTAGGTCTTTGTAGGTCTTTTAGGTTTTTGTAGGTCTTTGTAGGTCTTTGTAGGTCTTTGTAGGTCTTTGTAGGTCTTTGTAGGTCTATGTAGGTCTTTGTAGGTCATTTAGGTCTTTGAAGGTCTTTGTGTCATCCCATTGTAGGTTCCAATCACATTTCTCCCTATAACGACGTGCGCTCTTCACATTTCTCCATATAACGACGTGTCACATTTCACCCTATAACGACGTGTCACATTTCACACTATAACGACGTTACCTAATCACATTTCTCCCCATAACGACGTGTTTCTTCACATTTCTCCCTATAACGACGTGTCACATTTCTCCCTATAACGACGTGTCAGATTTCTCCTATAACGACGTGTTTTCTTCAAATTTCTCCTATAACGACGTGTTTTCTTCAAATTTCTCACTATAACGACGTGTCCTAATTACATTTCTCCCTATAACGACGTGTCCTTCTCACATTTCTCCCTATAACGACGTGTCACATTTCTCCTTATAACGACGTGTCCTAATCACATTTCTCCCTATAACGACGTGTCCTAATCACATTTCTCCCTATAACGACGTGTACTCGTCACATTTCTCCCTATAACGACGTGTCACATTTCTCCCAATAACGACGTGCCCTTGTCTCATTTCTCCCTATAACGACGTGTCCTAATCACATTTCTCCCAATAACGACGTGCCCTTGTCACATTTCTCCCTATAACGACGTGTCCTAATCACATTTCTCCCAATAACGACGTGCCCTTGTCACATTTCTCCCTATAACGACGTGTCACATTTCTCCCTATAACGACGTGTCCTAATCACATTTCTCCCAATAACGACGTGACCTTGTCACATTTCTCCCTATAACGACGTGTCCTAATCACATTTCTCCCAATAACGACGTGCCCTTGTCACATTTCTCCCTATAACGACGTGTCACATTTCTCCCTATAACGACGTGCCCTTGTCACATTTCTCCCTATAACGACGTGTCCTAATCACATTTCTCCCTATAACGACGTGTCAAATTTCTCCCTATAACGACGTGTACTCATCACATTTCTCCCTATAACGACGTGTCACATTTCTCCCTATAACGACGTGTCACATTTCTCCCTATAACGACTTGTCATATTTCTCCCTATAACGACGTGTCCTCGTGTTCTCCCTATAACGACGTGTCCTAATCACATTTCTCCCTATAACGACGTGTCACATTTCTCCCTATAACGACGTGTCACATTTCACCTTATAACGACGCGTCCTCTCCCCAGGCTATGACTGGGTACATCTGTGGACACGGACGTCATACACAGGTGGGCAGACGATCCTTGTGCCTGTACCTCTGGGTCAACCGGCCGTCTTCTACCGGTCAGACTCGGCCTTCAGGCAGGTCTTTGATAGTCTGACCACAACGACACACACCAAGAGGTTGGCACCAGAACTTGGCTTCCTGCCGAGTCCAGGGCGGAAATGGCGTCACAGCTGACTGGCGGAGTTCTGGAGGATGACGATACACTTGGCTGAATGGTTGATGACGCGCCTGATCAAACTGACGTCATACATGGTGGATGGGCACGACTTCCAGAACCATTGAATCACCTGAACGTTGCTTTAAACGACTGTCATTGAAACTCTACTACTACTTGTTTATCAGTACCATTTTTTAATGTGTTGTGAACAATTTGAAAAAAAAAACAAATGTGTATAACAAGGTGAAAAGTATTCACTTTACTAAGGAGATTTTAACTGATAAGTTAGAAATGTAATACTATAGTAGTCTAGATCTTAATTTTAGATCTTCGAGTGGATAAAAATTGACATTAATTTTGAACTGTTGACTTGATTCAGTTGTATAAAAAGAAGTTATAAAATTTCATGAAAATAACTAATCCAAATATTTTATTTTAATGTGCGCCACATTTTTATTTGTATTGTTTTCGTTGTCGTTTCCAGCTATGGTATTACAACTACAAGAAAGTAAGTACAATAAAAAATTGACTTTATTTCTGTCGTTTTATTACTAAACCGTTAGCAGAACAGAATACAGTGTATTTTTTTATGCGTCTCAATATCGATATCAGGTTGTCAATTTACCTTAACTACGATACCAGTTGTTTTTTTAAAAAAAACGCAGGTTTCCGCCCATCCATGAAAAAGTTGGTAGATCGACACTAACAGGCCACTCCGCTCAACTTTGTATTACACACCTATGTTACAGTGGGGAGAGTTTTTCAAAGTTTCAATACAAATCTACATAGATTTTTTCTTGATAAAAATAGCAAGCACCATTCTGCACTGTGCGGTCATCATCTCATGATAGAGATTAACGCCATGTTTGTATGTGTTGGTGTATCCACTAACACGAACGTTTCATCTCAAGCTAAAATAGTATCTCAGTGTTTGATGGCGTTGGTTAAGTCTGGTGAGTAGCAGGCTCTGGTCGGTCAGTGTACGATTGTCAAGTTTGACATCAGGATTGTCAAGTTTGATCTCACGATTGTCAAGTTTGATCTCGAGGTTGTCAAGTTTGACGAAATGGCGAACGCGGTACCGTTTGTCAAAAACTGGATAAAACTGAGGAAGGTATGTCAAGCTAGGCTACGTGTGGTTGTGTGTTATAGATTTTAAGTTTCAGTGTGTTTATCTTCTTTTTCTTTCTTAATTTGTAATACTTCTAATACTGGAGGGAAATTTCTACAACACAATGAATTATTCGTCCTGTAAAAGTGTATGCGTTATATGGCATTGATTCCTTCCTCAAGCTGCTTTTCTTTCTAGATTAGCTTACATTCAGTGTTTCTTTCAGACGTTTGAGGTACTTGAAACATTCGAAGTAGACTTAAATTTCCGGGGTGGGGGCGAAATTTTATAGGTAGAAATTTTAAAAATAAATTCTTCTTCAATCCGGGAGAAGACGGGGGTGGTAGACGTGCTTGGGAAGAGATGCCTGAAAGAAACTCTGCTTCCACTGCGTTTGTTCACCCAAGGACAATCTGCAAGACAGCATTTTTTTATTTAATTAGGGGTTCTCTCCCCTAGATAGGTTGCTGACCCCAATTGTCCAGAGGTCCAAAGTTTTTACTCTCTCCCAACCAACCACGCCCTCCCCTGAAAGTCGATATTGTGACCCAACTTGAAATCATTTCAAACCCGCTGCCCCCTCCCTATCCTCCCATCTCTATATTAGTACTAGAGGTGGCTAGATCTAGGTGCATACAGAACATACGACAGAACACACTGAGTTACGTTCTAGGCTAAGATTAGGCTTATGGTCAGGCAAGGGTAGGGACCAAGGTTAGGGTAGTGGAACCAGTTTACAAAACTCTTAACACGACCCTGCTGTTGGGAAATATACAAATACCGGGAAAGTGGGATTGGGTGTTCACCAGGGGCGGAACTACCATACCGCCAGACCCCGCAATGCGGGGGGGGGGGGGGGGGGGCCCAGGACGTTTAGGGGCCCAGTTCCGACCAAAAAACAATGAATTTTTTTTTTTAAATTATGTTTTTCATGCATCGTGAAAGTGGTTTTGTAAAAAAAAAAAAAAAAAAAAACAAAAAAAAACCAGCAGGTCTACTCTAGCAGAGATTGTTGCGTAGAAAAATATTTTAAAACCTACAGTTATAGTTTGAAAGGTAGGCAAACATTCACACTACTTCCATGACTTACTGCCCTTGTTTAAAATAGGGATGCCCACAAAGCTTATTTAAATAGTTTTGTACTATGTATATTAAAAAGCAATTGATTCTCAGAATTATTATTTAAATAAAACGTACTAAACAATGGTATAGCTATTAAAATCGATATTTTCAAAATTGATATTATAAAAGCCAAAAATGACAAAAATAAACATAACGCGAGAAACCATTCACGAATCAAGCTTACGTCTTCATATATTTTTGACCAGCTTGTATTGTAGTGGTCATGATAATTTCTAGCCCAAAATGAGTTTGGACTAAATTACTTCAGACATAAAAGATGTCCAATGACTTGCTCCACTTTTTGTTTACGTCCAGATAAAATCTTCAAATTTACATAAAAACAATAGTTTGTTATTTTTATCACGTTGTCTGGTTTTTAAATGTGGTGCTGCTTTTTTATTGCATTGTTGCAAGCGAATACACTCTAAATATCTGTAGAACCTGTTATTAAAGTATATTTTCTGGAAATTAAAAAAAACAAAACGAAATTACTCAGTTAGGATATAGATTATATATATATATATATATATATATATATATATATATATATATATATATATATATATATATATATATATATATATATATATATATATATATATATATATATATATATATATATATATATATATATATATATATATATATATATATATATATATATATATATATAGGGGGCCCTAATTTTTTTCTTTGCGGGGGTGCCCTTTATTTCTAGTTCCGCCACTGGTGTTCACGTGTGTTTATTTTGACCAAACTAGATACGCAAATATATGACTAATACTAAATCACAATTACACTCGCTGACTAACACACACACACACACACATACACACACATATATATATATATATATATATATAAATATAAATATATATATGCTTACCTGAGTGTGACGGCTAACTAAATTGCAGGTTGTTGTCTTCGGTAAGAGTTTTTCACCTGAATCCCAGCAGATCAAACAGCTGTTGTCTAAATATAGACAGCTGACAGATGACAACTATTGTTACGTAGACATTGAGAAACGATCGGACGTGTCCAATGTAAGTTCTCTTTATAGACTTATGTTGCCCTATGTAAGTTCTCGTTATAGACATTTGTTGTCCAATGTAAGTTCTCTTTATAGACTTATGTTGTCCTATGTACATAGACTTACGTTGTCCTATATAAGCCCTCGTTATAATCTCGTGCTGTCTTATGTAGACCCTAGTTATATACTCGTGCTGTCTAATATAGACCCTAGTTATAGACTCGTGCTGTCTAATATAGACCCTAGTTATAGACTCGTGCTGTCTAATATAGACCCTAGTTATAGACTCGTGTTGTCTAATATAGACCCTCGTTATCGTGTCATCCTGTCCAATGTTAGACCTTGTACTCGCCAATGTAAGGACTCGCTACTGCCTTTTGATAAAAATATTGGTTTAAGATATATTTTGATAGTTCTACCTTAATAATTATATTCTTGCTAATTTCAGTAGTTGCTATAATTAATTTAATTATTTGGTCTACTGTATTTTACTGAGTGTTCTAATAGATGTAACTAATGGATGTAATGAAACTCCCTAATTCATCACTGTTTGCTCTAATTAGCATCACTAATTTTGATGTAATGAATTCCAGTAATTTCTGTAAAAAATTCCATTAATTGCTGTATTAAATTCCACTAATTGCTGCAATAAATTCCACTAATTGCTGCAATAAACTCCACTAATTGCTGCAATAAATTCCATTAATTGCTGCAATAAATTCCACTAATTGCTGTATTAAATTCCACTAATTGCTGTAATAAATTCCACTAATTTCTGCAATAAATTCCAATAATTGCTGTTATAAATTCCACTAACTGCTGCAATAAATTCTACTAATTTCTCTAATAAATTCCACTAATTGCTGTAATAAATTCCCCTAATTCCTGTAATAAATTCCACTAATTGCTCTAATAAATTTCACTAATTGCTCTTATAAATTCCAATAATTCCTCTAACAATTTCCACTAATGTCTGTACCGTATCCCAGGTTGAAGACTACTTAATAATGCTAACGGGTCTAAACAACCGAGAGGTACCTCTGATGTTCGTCAACTCTAAATTCATCGGCGGCTACCTCCACATCCAACGCCTGCACAACACGGGCCAGCTCAAGCGCCTCTTCACCAAGTACTACCTCGTCAGCGACAGCGAGGACGACGACAAGGAAGACGAGGAAGTCCGACGCAAGGAGATCATGGTCAACATCCAAGCTCTGGACGAGACGGAAGTCGTGGTCAAGATCGCTGACTGGGTCCACCAGGGCGCGGTGAATCATGTCGACTACGACCCGTACACCGTGAACGAGCATTTGAACTCTCCACCGTCGGAGATTGAAATGGTGTTTTGGCCATCTTTCCGGGAGAAGATTCAAGAATCTCTGCCTTATAAAGGGAATGTGAAAGAAGACGAAGGGGACCCAGAGTGGATTTACGTCGGCGGGAAAAGGATTCACAGAACGTCTAGGGTAAGGAATCCGTCGATCGCGAATTTTATGATGCACCGGTCGTCGGGTGTGGTAGAGGATAAGCCGCAACAAGTGGATCACGAAGATCTCTCTCCGGTCAAGTCAAACGTGGAGGTGGTAGAGAGAAAGTTATCCGAACACAGCAAGGACACCGTCATATCCGCGGAGGAAGATCCTCGCATTTACCAGGAGTAGGAGGCGAACCCACAGACACGAAGACAAGGACGCTAATTGGATCTCCAATTATTCATCTGTTTAATTGGTACCAGAATATGCATGAACAGATGTGAATGGAAATATGGAACACACCTGGATGGGCACCTGTGTAACTTGCCTGCTAATTATTTATTTAAAGAGAACTAAAGTGAGGTTTCTTGAGTTTTTTTAGTTTTTTTATTGTAGATACTTCGCCAACAAACCAATGATCTGACACCTCATATATTCATTTTTTTTTAATATGAAATTGCTTTTTTACTTTTTGAAAGAAAATTAAAAGATTTCTATTTATATAAAATATAGGCCTAAATGTGTATTCTACTGTTGATTTTTAATGTATATATGTATATATATATATAGTTTATATATATATATATGTGTGTGTGTGCGTGCGTGCGTGCGTGCGTGCGTGTGTGTGTGTGTGTGTGTGTGTGTGTGTGTGTGTGTGTGTGTGTGTGTGTGTGTGTGTGTGTAAAAATATGGCACCCCGACAAAAGAGCGCACGACAAAAGAGCGCCGACATATCAGCGCAGACAAAAGAGCGCACGACAAAAGAGCGCCGACATAAGAGCGCAAACAAACAGACGTGCACATGTGCACACATCCGGTGCTGCCGACATCACCAACCAGACACTGATGCTGGTTCAAATCCTAGACCTGATCTATAAACAATACATTTTTTACTTCTAAAATAAAATTAGAGGTTTTTTAGAACAAATAATAGGTATGTTCTGTTTTTTACACCCATATACACATTTTATACATAATCATACATTTTACACATTAATTTTATAAACACACAGTTTCCACAGTACGTATATTTACCTAAAATCATAACCACATTTTGCGCACCAAATTTGCCAATTGTAAACAAGAAGTGAACAACTTTACTTGGAGCTTTTTGGTGTTTAAAAAAAAAGAGTTCACTTTCGTTTCCGGCATGTAACAAGAAGAAAGATAAACACTTCTAACTGTGTGTTGGTTATAAATGGGGATATAAGGTCCAGTGGCGTCAGGTAATAACTTAATGTGACGCGGAGTCAAGTAACAATCTGCAGTCAGTTTTGGGATTTTTTTTTAGATTAGTGAACCCGTGTATAGGCATAGCGAATATAGAAATCGTTAAAGTTAGGCTGTGGGCTATAATAAAGAATACTAGAATAGGGTTATAAATAAGGTTTCTTTCCAGGAAAGGTTTTACCAGGAAAAGGGAAGGGAGGAGGGGGGTTAATAAAAATGTATCTCTCTCTCTCTTTCTCTCTCTCTGTATATATATATATATATATATATATATATATATATATATATATATATATATATATATATATATATATATTAATTAATACTAATAGTTTCGCTGTCTGTCTATCTATCTATCTATCTGACAAGAACGCTCTAGAGAAAACACAAGGAAAATAAAAACAACACAGTAATTCGAAAAACGAAGTATGACGTCGACACATTTAGCAACTCAAGCCGGAGAGTGCACACAGTAATATGACGTCATTGATTATCGAGTAAACATTGAATACAAAGGAAATTTTGTCTAATCTAAATGGTTTGCGTGAAGATTTTCTTGCATACAATTCTTCGGGTAGGGGCGAAGCTCCACCCCCCCGCGTAAGAACGTCTGAGCCCCCCCCCTCCCCAACTCAAAAGAAATTTCTTCATCGATACTCTATAATAAAATTACCGCCTAATTAATGTGTCTAATCTAAAAAGTGGTTTTCTTGCAATTTCTTTAATGCAATTCTTCGGGTAGTGGCTAAGCGCGACACCAGTGTTTCTTTCAGACTTTTTCCTCCCCGGAGAGGGGTGGGGGTACTTGAAATTTTCGGGGGCGGGGGTAGAATTTTCGGGGAGGGGGCGGACACTGGAAAAAGTATATAATTATATTTCGTTGAATTTGACGGTAGACATGTTTTTTTTAGGGGGGGGGAGGGTGTGTGTGGGGGGGGGGGGAATGGGATGGTTTTAATTTAGACTTTTTCCTCCCCGGAGAGGGGTGGGGGTACTTGAAATTTTCGATGGCGGGGGTAGAATTTTCGGGGAGGGGAGCGGACACTGGAAAAAGTATATAATTATATTTCGTTGAATGGGACGGTAGAATTTTTTTTTTTTGGGGGGGGGGGGGGAGGGGGTGGTGTGTGTGTGGGGGGGGGGGGTGTGGGGGGTGGGGGTGTGTGGGGTGGGGTGGGGTGGTTTGTGTGTGGGGTGGGGTGGGGTGGTTTTAGTTTAGACTTTTTCCTCCACGGAGAGGGGTGGGGTACTTGAAATTTTCGGGGGCGGGGGTGTGTGGGGGGGGAGGTGGGTTGGTTTTAGTTTAGAGAAAAGAGACAGCACTATCAGGTGTGTGGGGGGGTGGGGTGGGGGGCCGTGTGTGGGGGGGGGGGGTGGTGTGTGTGGGGGGGGGTGAGGTGGGGTGGGGGGTGGTGGGGGGTGGTGTGTGGGGGGGGTGAGTTGGTTTTAGTATAGAGAAAAGAGACAGCACTATCAGCCTAGCGCCCGTTGTACCCTTCCTCAACGGGCCATTTTTCTCGTATATATATATTGATATTAATGTTATTTAAGTCAAATGCTTACCTTAGATCTAACAACGTAAAACCTATTAGTAAACGTTGCTTAAACTATAGGCCAATGTTTAGAGATTAAGAAAATCATAACATGATGCTTTTTTCCCTTACACTTACATCGCTGTGGCGGTTATAGCCAGGGTTAGGGTAGGAAGACTAGCATACCCAGCTCGATACCAGCCTGTCGGAGAGGTTTTGATTTAGTGGTTCTGAGCCCTACCGCTCGACATTAAGGCCAATGCTAATTCCATAAAAGTAATCGTTTATTTATATAACAATAACCTCAGATCTAATGCATTTTTAAACTGTACATCAGTATGTTATTTACAGCTCGCCCTCTGTGCAGTAACATCTCAGCTGTTTGGCGCCACTAAGTCAAGTTGAGGAAATTAGGCGGCAACATTTAGAAAGGTATATCTGGCAACTCTATGTTAATTAGTTTCTGATAAAAATGTTAGACCTAGCTAAATAGTACATCCCAGGACGTCAGCGTCATAATTGGGTGGGGGGGGGGGAAGAATGAGGGTAGGGTGAGGGTAGGGTGAGGGGCCGTAACACGTGACACCTTTAAAATGTTGCCACAAAAAAATTAAGTCTGTATTTCCTAGTTAGTTTTATAATGACAGTTATTTACACAACAGGGTGATAGCATCAGGCATGGGGGGGGGGGGGGGGGGGGTGACATCATATTGTCTATTGTTTTAGAAAATTATATATAGAATATAGCCCAGTCATTTGCTGAGTGGGGTGCAACTCTGGGCTGCCGCTCCGGGTGACACCCGTCATAGTGACGCCACTGTCATATGATAAGTATGTGCTGTTTTAAATCAATTATATTTCACGTCATATGTAAAAAAATAAAAAAATAAAAATAAATAAAAAAAAAATAGCATAGCATAGCAAAAACCGACTACTTTTCATTTGTACTTTAAAGAAGAAACATTTCTCATTTCTCCATCAGATGAAAGTCCCCAGGTCGCAATCGACAACTGGATCCAGCGTTGACCTGGAAGAATCGGATATCTCCGTCCGAATCCAGAACTTGGACGAGACCGAAGTCGTGGTGAAGATCGCCGACTGGGTCAAGCGTGGCAGCGGGTGCCTGTGCTGTGAGCAGGATGGCGCCAAGCTGAGAGCCACGCCCTCGGAGCTCATCGACATCTTCCGTATCTCCTTCAACGAGCAGATCCAGAGCCGGTACCTCCAGAAGAGCTGCGCCAACAAGGAAAAGCCCGCCCGCCAGGACGCGGAGCTAGGGAGTGTCAGCAGCGAACAGAGCAGCTCCCGGCCGAGCTACAGTCTTGATTAGCCGGCGTTTGTTTGCGAGATTAGCCGGCGTTTGTTTTCGAGATTAGCCGTGGGGTTTTTTTTTCGAGATTAGCCGTAAATTATTTAAGAGATTAGCCGTCGGTTATTTAAGAGGTTAGTCTTCGGTTTTTTTTCGAGATTAGATGTCAGTTTTTTAAGAGATTAGAAGTCGGTTATTTCCGATATTAGCCTTCCAAGATTAGCCCTCGGTAATTTCCGTGATTAGCCGTAGGTTATTTGGGAGATTAGCCATTGGTTATTTCCGAGGTTAACCGTTGGTTATTTCCGAGACTAGACTTCGGTTATTTTGGAGATTAGCTGTCGGTTATTTAAGAAATTAGCCGTTGGTTATTTAAGAAATTAGCCGTCGGTTATTTTGGAGATAAGACGTCGGTTATCTCCAAAATTAGCCATTGTTTATTTCCGAGGTTGGCCGCTGGCTATTTTCCGCTTGGTTTTTTTTTTGTTTTGTTTTTTTTTTCCGATTAGCCACCGGTTATTTCCTTGCTTCGCCGTCTAAATTTTCGAGATAAGCATGCAATTATTTCCGAGATTAGCCGTTTGTTGTTTTGGAGATTAGACGTTGTTAGGTAAGCTTGGTGTAACATAAGGAAGGGGTCCATTAATGATGTCCAAAAAACTAGATTGGAGGAATGTTCACACTTTTGTATCGATATATGGAAAATGGGGGAGGGGGGGGGAATGTTACTTAACATAAATTCAATAATTTTTAAATTAGAAAGTGATAAAAATACATGCAAATTTTGGTTAGAATTATGGAATATTTTTCTCGTGTAAATCATGTTGAAATTTTAATAGCTAGCTTGTTACCCAATTTTTTTTCCGGAAAATGAAATAAAGATGACCTGAAATTGTATTCGTTTAAATTATGATTTTGTATATCAAATAGAAGGGTAACGGTTCTGTTTTTGTTTTCCCCATTTTAAAATATAGGCTTTGAAGATAAAAATCGTTTGTAATTTCATGTATGAAACACATCTAGTTTAAGTACATGCCCTGTTTGAAAGCCCATGTAGTGTATATATAAGCCCCTTGCCATGAAAGCCTATCTGCTCTATTGTGTAAGCCCTGACCCTGCAAAACCCCCACCCTCAACAGACGTCATGCCCTCTCCCAGAGGCGTAGCGAGGGGGGGTGCGGAGCGCACCGGGTGACACCATTTAGGTGGGTGACATCAAGGCACAAAATAGCAAAATATATAGAGAAAAACTTGAGGGGGGGGGGGGTGCAAATCGAAAGTTGGGGGGGGGGGGGGTACAAATCAATTTGAGGGGGGTGCAAATCGAAAATTGAAAGTTTGCCCCCTTGGAAGGGTCGCTACGCCTCTGGGGGGGGGGGGTGACACCATTAAGTGCCGCACCGGGTGACACCCGACCTCGCTACGCCACTGCTTCGCATGCGTGTGTTTACAAACAAATCGCAGATCCCTAACACTAGCCCTTACCCTAACCCTAGCACAGTTATTAAGGTCACTGCGCATGCGCAGAACTATTGAGTTTTGTATTTTCTATCGAAAAATCTTTTTCCGAGTAGTCACTTCGTAAAAAAAAGCTTTGAACCTTTGTTGGTTAGATATCAGATGATAACAGCAATTAATTCCCCCCCCCCCCCCCCCCCACAACACAGCGTCATACAAACTTCGCTAAATCCCACCACTAAGCCCGATTTCCCTTTCGCGGATGTATATTCTCGTTATTGGCCACACTGCTTCAACTGATATACTTCAGAAGATAACCCCAAACATGAATTTAAGTTGCGTTATACTGAATTGTAGTTTTCAACTCAATGGATAACCTATCAGGTTAACCATCCCCGCGATAGCTCAGTTGGTAGAGCGGAGGACTGTAGAGCGAGAGATATAGCAATCCTTAGGTCACTGGTTCGAATCCGGTTCGCGGGAAATTTTATTTTATCAGCTAATTTAAAAAAAATTCAAACTATTTTAGCAAAATGAATAATGACACAATTATAGACCATAGAGAGATTACAATGCCCAGCTCTAAGAAGTAAAGTTGCTTACACTACAGCCCCTATTACAATGAGACCCCCTATATTTGGTTTATACTTTCATTTTATTCATGACGTTTTATGCTCAATGAAAAGTAATTCGTCCGATTTGTCGTTTTTGTTAAAAGCCTAATAATACAACAACATTGTAGCATTTAGACGCCCGTGGCTTTCTTTGTAGGCTTTAGCCCTCAAGCTTTGATGAAAAAAATACACAGTGAAAATTTCAGTCGGGGTTGGGGGCCTGGTTTCTTGAACCCCCCTTTCCCCCCCCCCCCCCCCCCCCAGCTCCTACCCCCGCCCCTGCCTGGAGTGCGGAGTTTTCTGGAAGTTCTGTAGTCTGCAAGAATGTGTTGGCAGACAGCGAACACACAGTCAGGGACCGAACAAAGAAAATGATAAAAAAAAGTGACCTGTGTTTCACAAGAGAAAACACGATTAATGCTAGAAGACTGTCGGATTTTATTGATGTTAACTGTTGTAGTTGACTCAACCTACAGATTTGTATTGTATACTTTTATTCTAACATTTAAGTTTCAACTCGGGAAATTGTTTTAATTTAGACAAGTCCGCTCCTAGATTTGAGATTTCATCTTAGATAGGAGATAGAGATTAGCATCGTAGGCTGATTATTCTGAACTGGAAATGTCATCTATAAACCCGCGATAGCTCAGTTGGTAGAGCGGAGGACTGTAGTTGATTTAAATAGTAATCCTTAGGTCACTGGTTCGAATCCGGTTCGCGGGAATTTTTAATCGGTTGCATTTCAATATTTTGGTCCATGTTAGTTGATTTTTGTTGGCTTTGTTCAATTTAATTTGAATTTGTATTTTGTAAATTTAAGTATATATGACTACAAATAACAAAACCCATGTGTACACCCCAGAGGCGTAGCGAGGGGGATGCAGACCGCACCGGGTGACACCATTTAGGGGGGGGGTGACACCAAGGCAAAAAAATAGCAAAATATATAGAGAAAAATTTGAGGGGGGGTGCAAATCGAAAGTTTGAGGGGAGGGGGTGCAAAACGAAAATTTGAAAGTTTGTCCCCGGAAAGGCTCGCTATGCCTCTGGGGGGGGGGGGGGTGACACCGATAAGTGCCGCACCGGGTGACACCCGACCTCGCTACGCCACTGCCCTCCCCCACCCTCTCCCACCCCGGCCTTAGGCTACTAAATGGACGAAACAACAGCCGAGCGAGATAGCTACTGGCCAGATAAATAAGTCGCTACACACGACCAAAAAGATAAGAGATAGCGATGTGTCAATGTGTTTGTTGACACGCTACAAGGCTAATCATCTGCTGTGTGTCCGAAACTTCAAGGTCAGTCTACAGTGAATTAATTCATAGCTTTACTCTAGTCATTTTCTTTTCAAACTCTCTTTCTCTCTTCTTTCTGTAATGCTTCTATTCCGTATGCTTCATGAATCGTATTCTGCAGATTAGGTTGGTATACATGTTTAAAAGTTTTATAGAAAGTCTTTAATTATCATGATGTTATTTTGTTTGTTTACGTCTTTTTTTAAATGACTGATTTATTTCGTGAACTGGCGATACTTTTATAACCCACATGCGTAAATACTGAATTTAGTTCAGCTTTTCTTTACGTAGATCGTGGTAAATCAGGTGACTTTTTTTC